TGCTTCCTAAGTTAATTCAACAGCCATTTACTGAGCATCTACTGTGGGCAGAGCCGGGGTTAAGTGGTAGTGGTGGAGGGAGGGACAAAAAAACAACTGGTACTAGGCTGCCTTCTTCACGGAGGGGTCCAGGGATTGGGCCCTGTGTATGGATTTTGGGGTCAGAAAGACCTGGGTTCCAGCCTTCATTCTACCACTTCTCAGGTGCATCCTGACCCTGGGACAGTATAGTCAATTTCTCTGATCTTCAATTTCTTCATTTATAAAATGATCACCGTGAAATATCCTATTACAGGGCAGCCATGAGAATGATATGAGAAAATGTAGTTAAATGCTCTGCTCACCACCTGCACATGGTAAATGGTCATTTACTGTAAGCTGTTATTTTATTTTTATCACACCCAACATTAAGACTTTGGAGTTCAGAATGCTCAAGTTCAGAATCTGCCCTGTCACTTTACACACTGTCACTATGGGCAAATGTCACCCCTCTGTGCCTCAGTTGCCTCATCTGTAAAATGGGAATGGCACCAGAACCTGTGTCATAGGGCAGCTGTAGGGACTGAGGCAGCTGATACAGTAAGGTGTCCGGAAGAGGCAGTGAGGCTGGCTACAGTGACTGCTCTGTAAGTATTACCTGCTGTCGGGACTTTGGAAGCCAGCCATCTGAATGAGGATATTTACATAACAATGTAAATATCTTCACCCAGATGGTTTCACTCCTGGTTTTTCCCTGGAGTTTCAGGGGAAGACATGGCAGGTCTCTAGAGCGGGAGGGACCCAATATATCACGACTCTGGTTGAGATGCTGCTCTAGTGTCATCAACCAAGGGTGCCCTGGTACTTGTAGCTGGTGATTTGTGCACCCAAAACCTGGGTTCTTTCCACTCCACCTGCCCCCTCATGCTCCCCTTGGGAAGCTTTGCCCTCCACAGTGAGGGGCTTAGAGAATTAAGGGATTTCCTCCCTCGTGAGACAGCATCACATACAAACTATATTTAGACAGATAATCCATAGAAAGGGAGAGTGGTCCCTAAAACCAGGCTGGGCCATCCTAATATGGAGGCCAGGATTTAATCCACTTCCTGTCCATGGCCCCTTCCAGGCCCTGGACATCCCTAGATGCTCAAGAGCCAAGGTCCTTTCTCTCTGGACTCCCTATATTCTGAGTTTGTTCATTCATTCAGTCATTCATTTGATCATCTGTTTACTCATATTGAGTGCCTACAACATGCCAGGAACTGTCCTCAGCATCAAGAGACAGCTGAAAATAAATTCCTGTTCCTTTGGGGCTGACATTCTGGTCAGGAAGCCCAATAAATATGTAAAATATATAGTTATTTCAGAAAAGCACCATGGAGAAAAACCAGCAGGGGAGGGGAATAGTGCTGGAGGCTAGGGGGGCTGCAGTTTTAAGTAGAAAACCAGGGAAGGCCTCACAAGAAGGCAATATTTGAGCAGAAATCAGAGGGAAGCGGGGGTGGGTAGGGGCTACTGAAATGGAGGAAAAGGGGTTTTCGAGCTGGTGAAAAGCCTTGAGTTGAGATGGATTTGCATTGAGGAGGAAAAGCAAGGAGGCTGGTGTGGCTGGAGCCCAGTGAGAGGAGGCAGATTCTACAGGGCCTGAAAGGCCACTGTCACAACTTGGGTTTTTTCAGAATAACATGGGAGCCTTGGAGGCCTCTGAGCAGAAAGACGTGGTATGACTTAGGCTATCACGGGATCCCTCCGGCTGCTGTTTAGCATTAGATTAAGTTAAAATGTGTCTGACACAGTCCCGGAATGGGACGTGGTGATACCACCCTGGTCCCTGACTCAGTCATTGGTTCACTCAGCAGAAACTTTATTGAGCCCATCTTGGATGTCAAAGTGGGGCTGGGGCCCTGGGGGCACAGAGACAGTAAGTTTCTGTCCTTACCCTGTTCAGTTTAATTAGGAAGACACATCAGTTACTCAAGATGCAGTGTGAGCAAATGCAGGAGAATGCAGAGTTGGTTAGAAATGAAAAACAGGACTTGGAAAGTTGAGGACTATGTACAGGAGTTAGAGTCTCCCTCAAACTAGTTTAACAACAACAAAAAAAGTTGGGGGGGCATTATTTATCAGTTACTGAGAAGTCCATAGCTTCAGGCATGGTTGGATCTAGGGGCCCAGGCAGTGTTGTCAGGAATCCCTCCCAGGGGTATATGGCTCCCAGCTGCTCCAGGCAGGTAAACTACCAGCTTAGCACTCCCAGGAAGCAAACACTCTGGGCTGGACTGACCGTCATTGGCCCAGGTTTAGCCACGTGGCATTCACCACTACCCAGGGCCATGAACCTGCTGGCTGGTCAGATCTGGGTCATGGACACACCTCTAGAGCTGGGTGGCAGGGGTGGAGGTGGGGCGGTCATCTCTATCCAGATCAGGAGACTGAGAGATGAAGACAGGACAGGAAAGGGTCGCTCCCCACAGAGTACGGGGGAATGATGCCAAATAACAGACATGTATTACTGGGGACCACCTTGGGGAAGTGACCCGTGAGCCAGGACTGAAGAGAATGAGTGGGTATTTGGGGAATACAGGTGGGACAAGAGAGGGACTGCACATGCAGAGGCAGAGTGGCCTGAAAGTCTACAGTGTGTGCTAGGAACAAGTGTTTGCAGAGTGTGTCTAGGAGGTGGCAACAGGGGCCGGGAGGAGATACTCAGTAAATGACATCTGTAATTATTATGACTTTATCTCACTTTTACTGTTGCTGTTCTGCTTGTACCACTGTAACCTGAATTTGCCCTCCTGCATTTTCCAGTGGAAACTGGACAGTCAGCTTTGCCTCTGAGCCCTTTGGCTGGGTTCCATTTCACCTCAAAAGGAACCCAGAAAATGGCAAAAAAAAAAAAAATTCAGTGTTTTCATTTGATTGCCTCACATGGCCTGGAGAACCTTCTCTTCTGGCAGAAAACTCCAGGAGCCGAGGGAGGTGGGGCAAAGAGAGGTGACGAAGGTGCAGGACCTGTGTAGCATAATCTCCCCAGGATGTTGACTGACAGTCATGAAGAAGGACAAGGCCAGGCAGGGGGTAGGGGGTTATTTCCCAGCGGGCAGAAGTGATAGGGAGAAAGGTGAGCAGGAAGGGGAGATGATTTCTCCACCCATGAAACTCCTCCCCCTGCACAAAATTTGCCAAACAGAGATGAGGAGAGGCAGAAGTAAGAGGAAACAGAGTAAAATCTTACTATGCCGAGGTTTTATAATGGAGTGGTTAAGGGTATGGATTGTAGAGCCAGATTGCCTGGCCTTTTTTTTTTTTAATTAAGGTATTGTTGATTTACCGCACAGGTAAAGTGATTTTTATATATATATATACATACACACATATACACATATGCTTTTTCAGATTCTTTTCCACCCTAGGTTATTACAAGATACTGAATATAGTTCCCTGTGCTGTACAGTAGGTCCTTGTTGTTTATCTATTTTATACATAGTAGTGTGTATCTGTTAATTGCAAACTCCTAATTTATCCCTCCCCACCTTTCCCCTTTGGTAACCATAAATTTGTTTTCTTTGTCTGTGAGTCTATTTCTGGTTTGCAAATAAGTTCATTTGTATCTTTTTTTTTAGATTCCACATATAAGTGATATCATATGATATTTGTCTTTAACTTACTTCATTTAGTATGATCATCTCTAGGTCCATCCATGTTGCTAGAAATGGCATTATTTCATTCTTTTTTATGACTGACTAAACATTCCATTGTGTGTGTGTGTGTGTGTGTGTTTGTGTGTGTATACAACATCTTCTTTATCCAGTCATCTGTCAATGGACATTTAGGTTGCTTCCACGTCCTGGCTACTGTAAATAGTGCTGTTATGAATATTGGGGTGCATGCATCTTTCCAAATTAGTTTTCTCTGGATGTATGCCCAGGAGTGTGATTGCTGGATCATAGGATAATTCTATTTTCAGCTTTTTAAGGAACCTCTATACTGTTCTCCATAGTGGCTGCACCAATTTACATTCCCACCGACAGTGTAGGAAGGCTCCCTTTTCGCCATACCCTCTCCAGCATTTCTCGTTTGTAGACTTCTGAATGATGGCCATTCTGACTGGTATCTCCCTGTAGTTTTGATTTGCATTTCTCTCATAATTGCGCACATGGAGCGTATTTTCATGTGCCTGGTGGCCATCACCTGGCCTTTGAATCTATGCACAGCTACTTACTATTTTTGACCTTCAGCAAGTCACTTCGCATCTCTACCGATCAGTTTACTCATTCATAAGTAATGTAAAAGTCCACCTCACAAAGTTGTGGTGAGAATTAAATAAGCTATTACACTCAAAGTGCTCAGAGCAGCACCTGGTCCTTAGAAAACACTCCATAAATCTGGCAATAGTGTTATAAATATTCAGGTACTGGGTAGGGGTGGGTGAGAGATACATCTGGATTACTCTAGATGCTTCGAGAAATATTTAAGTTTATGTATGTGAATTCAAAATTAAGAGTAGCCTGTATAGCTGCTCTGCCAATATGGTAGTCGCTGGCCATATATGGCTTGTTTCACATTTAAATTAATTAAAATTAAATTTAAAATGCAGTTCCTCAATCGCATTAGCCACATTTTAAGTGCTCAATATCCACATGTGCCAGTGACTACCATGGATCACCTCTCTCCCCAGTTCAAGCTTTCAGAGGCTTCCACCTACTGGGAATGAAGTTCATCAGTGTCCTCATGACCTGACAAAGCTCCAAATGATCTGCCCCTGCCTCCCTCTACCTCATCCCCTCCTGTTATTCTCACTGGCTGGGCTGCAGCCACTCAGGCCCCTCTGCTCAACAGCATTGTGATTAAAAGCCCGCACTCTCTAGCCACCTCAGCTTTGCCACTTGCTGTGTGACCATGAGAAAATTTCTTAACCTCTTTGTGCTTTAGAGGCTAATACTAAGAATAGTATGTTTTAAGGTTGTTGTTAAGAATTAAATGAGTAAATACATGTAAAGCTCTTCAAACAGGTATAGTAACTACCATATGAGAAAAAGCTATTGATCGTAATAATACTGTGCCCATGTAACTTTTGTTTTCCAGGCCACTCTTCATCCCTCCTGCCCCTGTGTGCCTCTGTGTCTTTGCTGGGCGGCCTGACCTTTGGTTACGAACTGGCAGTCATCTCGGGTGCCCTGCTCCCACTGCAGCTTGACTTTGGGCTAAGCTGCTCAGAACAGGAGCTCCTGGTGGGCAGCCTGCTCCTGGGGGCTCTCCTTGCCTCCCTGGTAGGGGGCTTCCTCATCGACCGCTATGGCAGGAAACAAGCCATCCTCGGGAGCAACTTGGCGCTGCTAGCAGGCAGCCTGAGCCTAGGCCTGGCCAGCTCCCTGACCTGGCTGGTCCTGGGCCGCTCAGCAGCTGGCTTTGCCATCTCCCTCTCCTCCATGGCCTGCTGTATCTATGTGTCAGAGCTGGTGGGGCCACGGCAGCGGGGAGTGCTAGTGTCCCTCTACGAGGCAGGCATCACCGTGGGCATCCTGCTCTCCTACGCACTCAACTATGCACTGGCCGGTACTCCCTGGGGATGGAGGCATATGTTTGGCTGGGCGGCTGCACCTGCCCTCCTGCAGTCCCTCAGCCTCCTCTTTCTCCCTGCTGGTACAGATGAGGCTGCAGCCCATAAGGACCTCATCCCCCTCCAGGGAGGCGAGGCCACGAAGCTGGGCCTGGAGAGGCCAAGATACTCCTTCCTGGACCTCTTTAGGGCAAGGGGTAACATGCGAGGCCGGACCACGGTGGGGCTGGGGCTGGTGCTTTTCCAGCAGCTGACAGGGCAGCCCAACGTGCTATGCTATGCCTCCACCATCTTCCGCTCAGTCGGATTCCTTGGGGGCTCCTCAGCTGTGCTGGCCTCTGTGGGGCTCGGTGCTGTGAAGGTGGCGGCCACCCTGACCGCCATGGGGCTGGTGGACCGAGCAGGCCGCAGGGCCTTGTTGCTAGCGGGCTGTGCCCTCATGGCTCTCTCGGTCAGTGGCATCGGCCTCATCAGCTTTGCTGTGCCCATGGATTCAGGACCAAGTTGCCTGGCTGAGCCCAATGCCACCAGGCTGTCAGGTCTCCCTGGAGACTCTGGCCTGCCCAGGGGCTTGTCTCCACCTCTGCTGCCAACAACCAGCCACAGCCCAGGGGATCCAGTCTTGTCAACCTCTGAGAAAGCCAAGCCTCATCCGGGGGCTGGGGCCCCCACTGCTTCTCCCCCACCGGCTCTGAGCACCGCCCCTCCTGCCCCCGGGCGGGCCCTGCTGCACTGGACCGCGCTGGTCTGCATGATGGTCTTCGTGAGCGCCTTCTCCTTTGGATTTGGGCCAGGTGAGTGGGAGCTGTCTCGCAGGTAACTATGGAGCCTTCCACTGCCCCCAGCGGGGACTGAACAAAGGAACACAGGTGGTGGCTTGAGCATGAGAACACTGAGCTCAGACTTCAGGGCTCCTCCCTTCCTTGCAGGCACTTCTGGAGACAGAGGCCTAATCCTGTTGTAAAATTTTCTTTCTTATAAAGGCCCCAAATCATTTAAGCTTCAGGCCTTATAAAACCTGAATGTGCTCCTGGATAGCTCACTCAAAAGAGTTTACAGGAAAGGAATTTAATGAATAGGGTGACCACTCATCCCAGTTTGCCCTGGACCCTGAGAGTCTGGTGTCCCAGGAAACTCCTCAGTTTCCTGGTCAAACACAGACTGCTGGTCCCTCTAAAGGAACTCTTACAGCCGTGGTGGGGGAAGCAGCCGGGAGAGACGGTGTCAGGGGCCTGACAGCCTGCTTGAATCTCACTGTTGGGGACCAACTGCGGGACCATAGTTGCCAGGCCCCGGGTCCCGGCCGCAGCCTAGGAGTCCTCCCTGCTCTCCTGTCCTAGTGACCTGGCTCGTCCTCAGCGAGATTTACCCCGTGGAGATCAGAGGGAGGGCCTTTGCCTTCTGCAACAGCTTCAACTGGGCCGCCAACCTCTTCATCAGCCTCTCCTTCCTCGACCTCATCGGTGAGTCCTCTGACCTCATTCCTCGGGCCCATTTCACGGAATTTCTGAGGATTTTGTTTGGAGCTTCGCCTCGCCTCCTGCAGCTGTTTTGCTGCTGAGGTGGATGTCCTTTTCCCTCCATCCACGTTTTCAGATGCCGAGCACATGCCACTGGTCAGTGTTTTAGATACGGGTGAGTGGGCTTTCCCATAAAATCAAGATGCCCGAGGTATTTGTGGATTTGGGCCCTGGCCCTTTGCCTGCCTCTGGGACAACCAGCCCTACTCCTGCTTTAAGGTACTTTTATTTGACAGCCTGTTGGTCATTCTGCAAATCAACCATCTGGAGAATATACTTTGGGTGAAGTGACTTTTAGCGCTCAACCTGGAATACTGGGCGACCAGTTGGCCCAGGCTGCACCCCGCCCACATCCCCACCCTGTTGTTCCTAGGTGCCATCGGTTTGTCCTGGACCTTCCTACTCTATGGGCTGACTGCTGTCCTCGGCCTGGGTTTCATATATTTATTTGTCCCGGAAACAAAAGGCCAGTCATTTGCAGAGATAGACCAGCAATTCCAGAGGAGACGGTAAGGGGGTCAGGGCTGATCTGGGGGGGAATGTGGCATCAAACCCAAGCACTTGACTTCAGGATTTTAGTCCTCATAATTTTCCTTTGCAAAAGTGTTTTTATTCTCTTCCTATTGCTCTTACTGCCTGGACACTATGAGTTTTGCCCTGTCTCCATACATGAGTTGTTTTCCCTGAGTTGCTTTGTGTCTTCCTACAGCAGAGTTTCACTGGACTTTAAGCTCAGCTCATAAGGATTTTAAAAATCATGCAGTTATGAAATCCCAGGAGGTTAGAACAGCTGGATTCTAAAACCACAGACTCTTTGAGTCATGGAAGCTCAGAGAAACAAAATATTGTAACCATGGCCTTTAAAAATCACACACTAAAAACTGCGGACTTGGTCCACTCGTTTAGTGGGTGTTATTAAGTCCATACTATGTGCCAGGCAGTGGCACTGGGCCTTAGGAAATGTGACTGAGAATAAGATGGAAAAGGTCCTTGTCCACACAGAGCTTCCATTCTAGTGGGGGAGGGGAACAGGAAATAAATAAGCCAACAAATGCAGCGACAAGAGCGTTTCAGTTAGTGATGTTAGTTGGAAGAAAAGGAAACAGAGCAAAATATGGAAGAGACCTTTCCATTCCCGTGGTGATATGAGCACAGAGAAAAACTTTCAGAAATCCCTCTTTTATCCTAACTTCTCAGGAACCCATTCCTTCACTTTCAGTAAATATTTTCAAGTGCCAGCTGGGAGCCAGGCACTGCACTAGGCTCTGGGGACAGACTCGTGGCCAAGAGACAGCCTGTCTCTGGACTGAGGAGGAAGTTACATTTTAATGTAAGGGGCAGAGGTGGATGACAGAACAACTAAATGCATGAATAAGATAAATTCAAGTGACAGTTACATCACAAGGAAGATAAGGCAGGTTAACCTGTCAGAGCGTGAACTCGATATGCAGGGGAAGCATTCAATGTCTTTAGCTGGGGTCCAAGTGTACCATGGGCACATTCATGACATAAGTTTGTCATGAACTCTTCATGACCGGGGGGGATATTTTTGTGTACCTGTTACGTTCGCTGCTCTATTCCCAGGGCCTAGAACAGTGCCTGGCTCATCACAGGCCATCAGTGAACTTAGCTCTATTGAATGAATGAAAGGATGCTCAAGGAAGGCCTCTGTGAAGAGGTGGCAAGAATGATGAGAAAAAGCCATCCTTTCCAAGAGGGTGTTCTAGGAGGAGGGAACAGCCAGAGTGAAGGCCCCGAGGTGGGAACAAGTTGGGTGTTTTGAAGAGGGAGACAGGAGACCCATGAGACCCATGTGGCCGAGGCTGAATGAGAAAATGGAAGTGGAGGGCGGTGACGTGGGAGACACCAGCTGCAGCCAGGGGCTTCGCTGTTGGGCTGAGAGTGATGCCACTTCTCAGCAGGAGTGACAGGAGCTGGTCTTTGTGCTTAGAAAGGTGACTTCAGCTGTGATGGGAGAACTGGCTGCAGGGGGCACAGGTGGACAGAGGAAGACCAGGAACGGTTGGGTGGTCCAGAAGATGGAAATGCATGCCAAAGCAGGAAGCAGGAAGGGTCAGGTAGGAGTTGGGGTGGGAGTCCAGGGGATGGTCCACTTCCATCACCCCCAGGGAAGGCCACCAGGCTCTGCCACCCTCTAACCCCACTCGCTCTCTGCTTGCCAGGTTCACCCTGAGCTTTGGCCATAGGCAGAGCTCGGCTAGCGTCCAGTACAGCCGCATCGAGGCCTCTGCAGCCTCCTGACGAGTCCATCTTCCCAGAAGATGCTGGAGCCATGGCTTTGGCAGACAGTCTTCAGCTTCCTCCTTGCCTGGGATCCAGGGCACAAGTTCTGAGGTGGTCCTTCAAGAGTCGCCCCTGCTCCAGAAGAGGTTTGTTTTGCTGGCACAAAAGGGATGAAAATATGAGAACCCAAAAGTCTTCATTTTGGGTCTCTAACTCTGAGGGTTCCTGAGGCTCTGCATTTTGCCTCGGTTTCCCCATCAGCTCTGTGCATCTCTGCAGTAACAAACTCATAATGAGAACATCTTGTGGAACTTGTTGCTCCATGACTCTCAAAGAGTCTCTAGGGTACCAACCTGGCAGGAAGCCTCTCCGGGAATCATCCCTAAATCCAGCTGAGAAAGCCGTATTCTCTGCTCTCTACTTTCATCTGGCTGGGACTTTTTGCTGAGGTAGAAGCCAGCTTTTTGGCTCTTGGATCTCATTTTGTTCAACTCCTCTAAGTCTCTTACTCAGAATATTTGTCATTCACCAGCAACTCAGATGGTTGGTAGGAGGCTAGAGTTCTAGTCCTGAGTCCGCTGGTCTTATTGCTGTCTGACCGTGGGGCTCAATTTCCCCCATATGTACAATGGGAGAGCCAAACCTGGTGGTGCTTAAGATCTCTTCTGATGCCAATGAGCTGGGATTCTAAATGCTGGCAATATCAGATATTCAACATGGGCCCTGCTCTCAAGTTGCTAGTCATCTCTTTAGGGGATATAAGTTTTAATTAGGGAAAAGGTGAACAGAATTCCAGAGTTGTGTGCACTAAAATCCAAGGGCCATTACATGCATGTAATGTGCTCCAGAAGCTGTTTCCAGGATGGTGCAGGAGGACTTTGCAGGAAATGAGTTTGGAAACCTGCTTGTCGGTGTTGCCTCCACCTATTGGCAGCTACTGACCTTGGGTAAGTGACAACTCTCTTGAGCCTCAGTCTCCACTTCTGCAGAATGGGTATGCTTGTGTACCTCCCCACCCCCAGGATGTATTTAACCTCTGTCTCCCACCAAGGGGGTCTTCAACTGGTCCCATTCAGCTGGTCATGATGGAGGGCTTTTCTATTCATCCTCAATACCCAGACCCCCCACCTTTGAGACACTACAAAGGGTCACCCCCACCAAGGGGTGAGTCAGTGGAGACTCAGCAAGGAGCTCAGCCCCTACAGGACTCTGGCTCCTCCTGAGTCCTCCTCTCCTCTCATTTCTAGATACTTCCCTTATATCCAGTGATGTGTTGGAGCTGGCTTGTGCTGGCTTATGAGAGCCAATTGTTAAATTTTGAGGATTTTTGCAAGCTGGTTGTTAAACACAGCTGCTAAAAAAGTTAAATTATATAAACTTAGATTCTATTAAAAACCAAGGGAGTATAAGCTAAAAACTCATCACTTCCTTATCTTACTACATTTTGCTGTATTATCTGTGCTCTTAAGATTACTGATATCTATTGTATCACATGAGGAACAATGAGGGGAGGGGGAGAGCTCCACAGAGACTGGGGGAACACTGCGGATCAGGGCTTGATTGCTTGTTTTGTTGATTTTCCAGTTTTAAGTACATGATGGATAAAATGTTTTTTGTATTTTTTATTTTAAATTTTATTTTGATGGATAAAATGTTAATAATGCACATTAAACGTAAAAATGTGTCATGTCTGTGGCTACTATATTGTGAATGGCACAAAAAATTGAGGGAATCATTATCTAATCATTATCTAATTCAGCCAAATTCACCAGACACACGTCACTGGTGAAGGAGTTCTGACACGTCTCCATTGTTTTACTTTCATCTTACTCATTAACATAAACAGAAACTTCAACCAGCATTTGGGTGGGAACTGCATTCCTGCTTCCCTGATATGCGTAACTTCTTTGCTGAGTCATATTGTTATCAAGCATTTATTCGTGGTCTAATTTTTTCAAATCATGGCTAAATTGCAGTGATAGCTAGTTTTGGAATCAAGAGTTTGGTAGAAAAAGCAACAAAAACCTATTACAGACCTGAACTTGACCTGCATCCTGAAGCAGTGCTGGGCCAGCCAACTCACATATCTGAAAGTGAGAAAGGAATGCTAGTTTAAGATTCTGGGATTGCTTATTACACAGCCAGTGCTGACTAATACAGAATCCAACCAGGTAAAAGTATTTTTACCTCACCCACTGAGTACACCACTGCCGGGCCTGAAAATGCTAAAACAGAACAATAATAATGGTGATGATGATGATGATACAGTCTTTGCTTTCAAAAATAGAAGATACTGAAAAACACAGAGAAAAATAAAACCACCTAAACCTTACCAATCAAATATAATCACTAACAACATCTTGGTGTATAGCCATCTAACTTCTTGTGTCTGCTGACAGCTGAAGCTAGTTAGATAGGAAGAGAGATGAAAGGCAACCTCAGATTAAAACCCCAGCGGCATCTCTGACTCCTTTTTTTCTCTCTCACATCCAATCAGTCAGCACATTCTGCAGGCTCTGCAGAATTCGATCTTTCTAATCACCTCCTCCATCACCATCACCACCGCCACCACCTTCTCTTACCACCAATATTACAACCACCTGATAACAACCTTCTTACTTCTGTTCCAGCCTCCTCATCTAGTCTCCACCCAGCAGCCAGAGGATCCTTTAAAAAACAAAGTCAGTCCATGTCTCTCTTCTGAGCTAATCTCCCCATGATGCCCCTCTTCCTCAGAGGAGCACGCATCACCACCTTTCAGGCCCTCCGTGGGTTTCTGGCCCTTTCCTTTCTGACCTCATCTTTTCTCAATTGCTTCTAACACATCTGACACCCTTGGCCTCCTGTCCTCAGATCCTTCCGTGCCTTGTGGTAGGAAAATGTGCACACAGATATTTGTACGACCCCCACCCTAGGTTCTTTCTTTCAAAAGGTTCAAAAGTTGTCTTCTCCAGGAGGCCTTCCCTGACTACCATGCCTAAAACTCCACACTCACAATACATACACACACATGCACACATTGATACTTCCCATTCTTCTCTCCCTTCCCTGCCTCTTGCTACTCTCTAACATACTATGCATCTCACTTATTTGTTAATTTACTATCCACATTCACTGATAGAGTAAGCTCAACAAAGGCAGGGCAGTTTGCCCTTTTGGTTTACTGCTGTATTTCCCATATCGAGAACGGTGTCTAGAATAGTACATAAGTAGACACTTAATATTTAGGGAATGAATGAATAGACAAGTGAATGCAAAGTGCCTGGAATGTTGAAGACAGAGAATAAAGGGTATGTGATAGCATCAGAAACCTTAAAGAAAAGTGCTTTCTTCCTCTTACATTGTAGATGCTGTAAAAAGTTGATAAAATTTTTTAATGGAGCATAAATACACAGTCATAAAGGCCACTGGCAGAACAAGCAATGATATAATTAATACAAACAAGGAGCTGACAGGAAGAAGGGGCAGTGGAGGGAATGCATGTGAACAAAATTCCTCACGTAACACTGGACATCGTTTAGGGTTGATAATTTAAGAAATAACACTCTACTTTTTTTCCCTAAAGCAAAGGCCTCAATGCTCTAAAAACCTGTCCCTAAATGTATTACATTTGGCCCAGATATTGCTTTTAAATTTTCTGAGATACTGCCAACTTTTGAAACTCGGGATGGTTTACATATTTTTGCCTTCTCTTCAAAGAGATCTGGCCACACTGGGCCTGCATTCTGACGCCTGGCCACCAGGTGGCGCGGCAGAGTAGCAGCCATTCTCTTTAGACATGGCTTAGAATCTTCCGTTGGCTACAGACCCCACCCAGATTTTCATTCCTGGTATACATAATTAAGGATAACGATTTAAAAAAAATTTTTTAAAAAGAGAGAAACACAAAATTCTAACAGTTGCCATCTCAAGGAAATAGGGCCTTGGAGTGTTAGAAAAATGGAAGACGAGAGTAGCTCCCTGTTTTGAACCTTCTATGCTGTTTGTATGTTCATATGAGTTTGGGTACATGTGTCCTGTTTCAATAATGAAGGGACTACTTAGATTTAAAAAAGCACTTAAAAATGCAGCTTTTACGTTAGAAGAATTGCAAACACTGAAAAATCTAAAGATCAAAAATAAAAACTGTCCAAGCCCTGCCAGTTACTAATAACATTTGGGGGTATGTTCACTGAATCTTCTGCCTATGATGATAGATCAAGCTAGTTAAAAACAGAGATAGACATCTCCATGATACTTTCATATCACTGAGATCATATGTAAAACGTGGTGGCACGTACCTTTTTAGATTATCAGGCATTTTACAGGAGGCTGAGTTCACATACATTTTACTGCCTTTGCCAATGTTAAACATTGTATCAGTGATTTCTCCCCGTATCTGGCTTTTTCTTTACTTCTGAACGTGGAGAAAATCGAATTATGTACGTACCAAGTCAACATTCCAGTTTTCCTGGCAAAGGCTGATCTCTGCCAGTGGAAACAGAGTGTTTTCATTTTATTTCTTTCTTTCTCCCCGTCATTCTATGCTTTTCTGGTTTCTCTATGTGCATATTTTCCTCCTGGATCTGGCACTATGAGTTGCTAAGTTCTTCCAGATTTGGGGTAAGATGCCATCCTAAATCTCTGGGTTTGACAGGCAGGGTCAGTAGATATTGAGATATGATCCAAAAAGCTCATTCTGAGGCCATCTCTCAATCAGATGTCAACTTGTGAGGTGGGAGAATTTGGCGCCTACACTGCATTCGGCCGCCAGCGTTCACTGCCTTCTCCCTGAAACTCATCTGGCACACACTGGGCACAGAGTAAGTTCTCACTACATCCCTGACAGTTGGAACCAGATCAGGTAACTCTTGGCAGAAGATACAAAATTTTTGCTCCAAATCAACTATTCATTGCCCTCTTTACCAATATCTTCAAATCTGAACAGCATTTAAAGCACCAATGGCCATCCTAACTTCTCTAATGCCATTTTTGAACAGAGTGACAATGTGACTCCTATGTTAGCATCTGAGACTTCCAGCCCTTTCTCACACCTGAGCTGAAGCCTCATTCCATACAATGTGGGAAACCACCCCGCCCGCTATCACTGTATCTTTGAACTTGCTCGTGGGGCCTAGACATTCTGGAACATTGAAAACGGAGAGATCAGAAGGTGCAGTCACCAACAACTCTAGTCTCCCTTCCAGTGCACACTCAAACACAATTACGGGGAGAGTTCTTCACCTGGCCCTGTGTGATCTATTATGCAGAACCAGCCCCTGCCCTAGGTTTTCCGCTCGCTCTTGGATAATGATAGGTAACAAAACGTTGAGAACAATGAAATGTCTTCCAGTCACTTCCAAGTGTAACAACGGTCTAAATTTAGTAATTAAAATGTAGAGTCATGTCAAAATTTCCAAGCTCATTCATGTTACACCTCTCCCCTGCCCCACTCTTTCTTCCCCCAACCTCCCACCAGTCGCCGAAGATGTAAGGGGCAGGAAAGGCCTTACCTGGTTGACGCTGCCTGGATGTAGCACCTCGCTTTCTGCGCTGAGCAGGCGTTTGCAGTGATTCCGTCTCTTATTGAGGCATGTGTGCGCATGCACTTACGTGCGTGCATGGGCGTCTTGGCGTGCGTGGGCGTCTGTGCGTGTGTGTGCGTGCATGGGGGAGGGGGGCTCTTGGCCCACAACTAGGAACCTCTGAATGCACTTCCTCAGACGCAGGTTCTGGGCATCCCATGGTCCACCACCTGCACTTGGATCCCTCACCTTTGCAGGTGGCCCTGCCACTGAGCCTCCCACGTGATCACAGGCCAGCTGCTTCTGAGGTTCACAACCGGTCCCCGGGAGAAAATTCAAAACCTTTGACCTACTCTAGAGCCCCTTCTTGTTGCGGCTGGCAGTAATCCATCAACATGTTGTGGGGGGTCTCCTGTAAGTGACAACGGTGATTCTTGACTCCATCTTGGTCCTGTCGGCCAGCCCTGTCAATGGAATACGAGGGCTCATTTCCTGAGCTGTGAGAGTCCATTCTCCGTAGGTGGTGGGGATGAGTGCTGGCGAAGCTGGAGATGCACACAGGAGCTCTTCCCACTCCCAGACCTCAGTGTTCTCATCTGTGCAATGGAGACAGTAAAACCCGCCTTGTAGAGCTCTCAGGGATCAAAAGAAGGCTAAGCTACTCTCTATAGAGAAAAACTCCAAAGAAAGAGAGAGAGAAAGAAAAGAAAAGAAAGCCCAAAATAGAGTTATCAAAACTCAAGTCACTTTTACAAGGTTAGATTTTAAAATTCATGCCCCTAACGCACACACAGGCAACCTAACAGGACTAGGCAGAGACATAGACGGTGGGATTCATTTCAAAACAGTAATGCACATGGTCTGACAGTGGAACCCAAGTTTAATGACTTTCTCGGATCTCTTCTGTGATCAGTTCTGGAAGTACTTGTCTGTGACTTTGGTGTAACTTTATTTGAAGATCACACAGAAAAGCCAGTGCTGTGGCCCACAGCCTACAGATTGCCATCCTCCCTTCTTCCTG